ACCCCTCCTTAACTTGAAAACTACGTATATTTGATAGAAATGATTGAGGCATAAAAATGCAAAAGCTTATACTAGTTTTAGCCAATATAAGCCTTGTTCAGGGTAGGCTTCTGCTTTACCTGAACGTAAGAACTCACAAGTGTAAGACACATTCCAGCTTCACTGACCTGTGCAAACCCAGCCTGAGCATTTTGCATTTTTCCTATTAAAAAAAAAGTGAAGGACATCAGTAAGAGCTTTAACCTGCTAATGCCCCCACACAAAAACATTCAAACTATTTGCCTCCATATATTTAAATCAGCAGATACATTTTGTCACCGACTTAGAATTTCCATATAAATGTTCTGCATTGTAGCATTGGAGGAGCTTGTCATTTTGCGTATGCTTCTGAATGCTTCAGCGTACTTACTCTGTACATCTGCTGCCTTCTCATCTGTTGGACAAATTCAATTGAGTCACTGCAACAATTACGCTGTCAGCAAGAGGTGAAATATTAATGGCTTTAGCACTGTAAGGAGACCATATTAAAGGATAATTAAACAGAATGGGTCAAATAAGACTTTAACATACTCTCCAGGCAAAAGAAATCTTCAGAAGTAGGCTATTTAGCTTAACTGGTGCCCTTTCATGTTGAGTTTTACCCCAGCTCAGAATTACTTAGTGCTCTGCATGGATAGAAAAGTAGGTTTCATTTAGAAATTAAAGTTCAACTACGCAGTTCCCATTGAGTTCCCCAATCAGTATTTTTAGTGAATGCAGGGGTTTTTTTCCCCCCAGAAGACTCACTAGCAGCCTTAAAGAGGTTTGAACAATACACCTACAACAGCTAAAAATGGAATGTGCCTCCTCAACGTTAACTTTAACGTTCACCGATGAAGGGAAGTTATCAATCACCCACACCAAAGAAGTTGTCAGGGACAATAAACATCCCTGAAACAAATTACAGCCTTGTAGACTCAGATTTATTATTAATGTGAACAATTCAATTAACCACAAGAAAAGTCTCATTTAGGCAACTAAAAAATTTAATTGATGTTGTCAGAAATATTTCAGATTACTGAAAGAATCACATTTTTAAAAAGCGCCAAGGATTTAGCATCCCCACCTACCCATTCTGGAAAGAATTTGCACTTTCAAGTTCCACACAGTAGCTAGCAGATACCCACTGATCAGAAGCCCTTGTCAACGCATGTAGGCCTCAGGATCATGAGCTCCATTTATTTAGATGTTATTCTTCATTCAGTCAGCAAATGCAGTGATTGGATTGCATTGAAGCAGTGAACTTATTTTTGGTTCCCCAAAGTACCATGCTCCAGTTTGGATGCTGATCACTGTATGTCCTTGGACAAGTCGCTTCATTTCTGTGCCTCAGTTTTGCCACCTGTAAAATGGAGATAAAAAACCCAAACCCACCTAACTTGGCACCATTCCTAGAGGATCCATGGCTGGAAAGCAGGAAAAAAGGGGTATGATTTATTTTACTCCATCTTATTCTGATCCCAATTTAATTGGGTTCAGATACAGCAAACAAGGAGCTGCCATCAATGAGGAAAACATACTCCCTTGTCAATGTTTGTTTGATAAGCAAAATTAACTGGACATTCCTGATCTGTTCATTTTTATCTGTTCCCAAGGGCCTTCCCTGCACTACTGGGCAACTGTCCAGTTAAAAGGCAAAGACCTACAAGAGGAGAGATCCATTTAAGAAATGTGATGTAAAAAATCCACTTTTTACCTGCTGGTATGAGAGCATGAAGCAAAGGAGGGAAAGTGGGGGTTTCAGGTCACAGATTCACAGAAGTTTAGGGTTGGAAGGGATCTCATGAGATCATTGAGTCCAGCTCCCTGTGGGCAGGAAAGATTGCTGGGCTCAAACAACACCAGCAAGGTGTGCATCTAGTGTCCTTTTGAAGATCATGTTGATCACCCCTGCTGCAAAGGACTAAGCCCTTCTCACCCAAACAGTTACTTTATAAAGGCTGCTCTAACCAAGTAACTGTTGAGCCATCATCTCATCTACTAAAATGAGTTCCAAAAGAGAGTTTTAAATAGTATCCAAGATCTAAGACTATACTTTGTAACAGTACTCAAAAGTTAACTGAATTGATATTTTTAGAATATTAATTCAATTAAGTCTCAAGGATATGTCTTGTATCCAAACTGCATTTCTCATAAGAGGGAGAATATAAATTGCAGACTAGTATTTCAGCTTTAGAAAAAGAGTCAACTTGAAAGCCTACACTTATGAAAAATCTATCTTTAAATATGCTCCTATCTTCCCTCTTGCCGTTTTTCAGCAGCACTCGCTGCCTGCTACCGTTTATTTTCAAGCACCCACTACAAATTACAGAGATGTTAACCCTTTTAAAGTAAGGCTCCCTGTGCTGGTGTGGTTTCATCTGAACCTGCAAAAGTTTCCTCCCTCAAGTCATGTCACTAGATAAAACTGCAGAGTGGATTACTGAGCTGGGGGGGGAGGTTAGTACTTAACTGTCTTGAGGATTTTCTACCTGAAGTTCCTGGAAACAGAGTTTAGGATTTGCTGCTCATAGAGCCACATCAGATCACTAACCTGGTACAAAGAAAGGGTTTAAGATTTAAAAAGGCATCTAATGTTGCAGACTACCCTCCTTGCAGGATCAGAAATCTTTTTTTCAGAAAAAAAATGTAGAAACTCCTTGAGATAAGGAACTGTGGGGTTTGAGACATGCATGTGTGAGAAAACCCACAGACATGGTAAGGCTGTAGCAGAAAGCTACAGAAGCTTGTGCAAGGGTAACAGGGTATCTAGGAAGCAATTCCTGTAATACAGAGCTCTGGCTTAGCTCAGCAAGATAAAAAACCATGTAGGAAACAAGCAAATCTTGTGCACCCACTGAACTTGCTGGTAGGAAGTGGATATGAAAGGGTTAAATGCCAAATTCCAAGTGGTTTATATAAAGAAGGACCTTGAATTACTGAGTTAACACCATTTCCTGCACATTTTATAGCAAACGAAGATTTTTCTTTAAAGAGGAAGGTAACATAACAGTAAAGGGGTTGTGCTTCTAATAAAGAGGAGAAAAGTAGAGCAAAATAGCTGGGATAGCAAAGTGACACACGTGGCAGCATTTATAAGATGTCAGGATGCCTCCAACTTGCATGGAACAATATGTACTTTGCAAATAGTCCCATGAATCCAAAGGGGCCATATTGCACAGGTAACCTTTGCAAGGTAACTGTTGGAAACAAAAGCTGTTGTCATTCACCTGTCACCCTGAGATTTTTTAAATTTTAATTGGGGGTCTGAGCTACCATTAATTCCCATCAGGGACACCCATCGCAAGCCTCTCCTTAGAAATGCAAAGTATTTTATTTTCTGTAGGAAATAAAAATAAAATTTAATACGTACAAATGAAATGTCATGAGACAAATGCATTTACAGAAAATGGCACAGTGCTCCTATACACATGGTAAAAAATAACGCTTTCAGCAGTGCATTAGCTCAACTGTTTTACATATACACAGTCCTGGCAGCAAATTTAAAAACATCAGAACAGGGGATTTAATCACTCATTTTCATACAACTATTCATCAACAAGGTACAGTAACAACAAAAATGGCAAGTGACTTCCAAAGATAGCAGAAAACATTTAAAATTTTAAGCTGAACACTACACAATTTCAAAGACATTCCTACAAAGACCGACTCATGGATAGTTTAAGAAACTTTTCTGTGCTCACTTGAGAGGGTGTAATCCAGTGCTACAAAGAATACAAATAGGACACTGAATGGACACATATATATACATAAACACACAGGGATCAATGTTACACAAAGAGACAAGGGTCAAAACATTTCAGCCAGTTCTCTTTCTGCATTGCTTTTACAGTTTGAAGCCAACAGGATGCTTAAACATAATTTACTGAGTGCAACTGGCAGTAAGCTGGGTACCATTAGTGCTAAACATATACAGGAAACCAAGGATTTTAACATAGCCTGTTGTGAGAATCTGCTTATGTTAATCAAATTATGTATAAGAGCTTGTTTTAATTAAAGGCTAATACATTCAGAATGGACGTTTCCCACAGGAACCCAAACACAGTATGTGCTGTGTGTTATCGGCACAGAATGTAAACATGGATCCGCTTCCAGATTCATATTTGCATTTGTCACTTCTTTGCAAAGATAATTCCCCAATGCAATGCAAGGTTGGGGTGGAGAAAGGAAAAGGAATTATATAGCACATAGTTTGTATGATTTCTGTATGAAAATGACAGTATTATACAGTTAGTGTCAAACAATTAGGCTGGGGGGAGGGGCTGTACTACATCAACAGGTACTAACACTGCAGTGGAAGTTTTGTTCAGTGTCTGAATATAAACTGCAATAGTTACTCTGATCATCATACGAACTACCATGTTCCTTAAGAATTGCTTCTTGCAAGGTGCAGTGTCTCATCAGACATGGTCAGTACCTAACGACCACTACTTCAAGCAAAATTGGAGATGCTAGACACCTCAGAGGGGTGTGTATCTGTCTCTGTGGCCTAATGTCAGTTCAAATGCAAGAAGGTGTCTTAATTAAACAGATTCTAGGCTTGCAGTGTGTTCCCAGTGGAAAGCCATCAGACATGGAGGAAACCATGCACTCTGCACAGTCTCAAGTTAGACCTCAACCCCCCCCCCCCCAACTTTTCTACCAAGTAACTACCCACTTTTTTTCCTCCCTCTTTGG